TTAAAGGGTTAAATAATGATAGATGTAAAAGATGTGAAAGACTCTTTGCTAAGAACATAAGCTCAACGTTTTTAGCAGGCTTAATTGCAAAATGAATATATTTGAGTCTGGAGCACAGTTTGTGAAAGTGGCAACCTTCACTGCAAATGTTGGCACAAGACCATCATCACAAGACACATTTTTTTTTTTATTTTTTAATGAATACTTGCTGCTTATTTTTATCACTTTTTCATCTTCCTATTTTGTTTCTTTGTCCATTTACTTGTTAGTTTTCCTCTCATTGGTTTTTTTCTTACATGTAGTTTGTTTTCTCCATTTGTCAGTCTCCAATGATAATACATTTTGTCAAGTAAATCCATTAATAATTAATTAAGTTCTTTTTTCTCTTTAGCCTGTGATTGTTCAGTGTTTATTTTATAGCAATATTAATCTGATGCTTGAACATTTTACTTCAGGTTGTAACTGCCCCTCTGCCATGATAATACATTTTTTTCAAGTAAATCCATCAATGATTTATCAAGTAGACTTGTTGTATGGTTTTTTTTCTTTTTCAGTTGCACAGTATTTATTTTATATTAAAATTAATCTGATCCTTGAACATTTTACTTCAGGTTGTAACTGCTCCTCTGCTGTCAAATTCCACATTGTCAACTTCCTCCATGCTTCAGAATCCAATGGCTGAGCCAACTGTTGTCAACATCACTAACACCACAGAAGTGAACCTTGCACAAAGTAGTGAAAATTCATCTTCTGCAACTCCCCTTGCAGTAACTCTAAGTAAGGATAACCTTAATCTACAGTGAGCTTGAATTATTGTTTGTTAAACAAGTTACATGTATATGTAAATGCATGGAAACAGTGTACAACTTCATGGCAAACTTGTAGCTATGTTTTTTAAGTTTCTTCAAGTTTCTACTTAGAACAAAAATGATGGATTCTTAACATTTAATGCTTTTATAAAACCTATGATTTTTTAATCTTCTTGTTTCAGAACCTGTCCTTACCAACCAGTCTGAAACAAACCTTGGTAAGAAAACTTACATGTGTACTGATTCCCTTCCCCCTCCTCTGCTACCCTTCACTCCCAGTATCTAAATAAAGTAAATAGTTTGAACCTGGGGTGCCACTTAGCTGAGAAGTCAGATTGTCCAGGTGAGAGAAGGCCTGAAAAGGACTGTTGTTGGTGTTACTGACTTAAAAGCAAGTCGTCATTAGAGTTTTGAAATGTTGTTCTTGGGTCCAACTTCACCTGGATGATCAGATTTCATGATCAAACTTTGTCAAACAGTTCTTATAATTTTAGCTTTGAGATTATGGTATGGTATACATGTACATGTAGTACCACTCAAATGTAAATTGGCCACTGTTAAGGGTAAAAAAGCTGACGTTAGCCCTTCGTCAGAGTGATTGACAAACATCTAACACTCGAAATGTCAGCTTTTTTATCCTTTATGGTGGCCAATTTACGTTTTCAACTCACTTGTTAACAATAAATTAACCTGCTATACTCTCCCACTGACGCAGCACCACAGTTTCTTTAGAAAGTAAGTAGACAATCTCTTTTAACTCAATCCTCGATACTTCACTCTCGACAGTGGATTTTTGAAAAAATTAAAGGATCAATGTTGAGTTGAGTTTCCTGATGCTGATGTTTTGAAGTGGGGAAACAAGGAAATATTTGTGCTATTAAGTTTTCACATGGCTGTCTTCCACTCAGCTACCAGTACATGCTGAGTTATAAATGAATTACTCTTTTCATTGTAATAATTACAGATACAACAACTACAGGACCATCAGCAAAGCCATCTCCTGAAGGTGAGCATTAATTCATACAGTGCATTCTCAACTTAAAGTGAGCTTCATGCTTGCATTACACCTTACAAAAATCAGTTTGTGATTGAAAACAATTTACTTTACAACTACAGTAACAACAAAATAGGTATGAAGTCATGAGTGAGAGAAAAAATATATCAATGTAAGATTATAAAATAAAAGTCAGTGCGTTTCTGTTTCCAATCAAAGTATTATTTCTATGGGCCTCTGCTCCAAATTGAGGGGTGATTTTGTTCATGTTCTGTGGTATACCTTCTCTTCTCATAGACTTGTTGGAAACTATGCTGGTTTTGATTACTGCAGTAGAATTTTATTTACATGTTATCTGTAAACACGTACATGTACAACGTAAGTTCTTTCTTCTGGTGTAAACCAAACTGTTGAGTGTTACTTGCTTTTGTAATAATGATTCACTCTGTCCTCAGTGCCACACAAATCCCTTGAAGTTTCTGCGGGTGACAACAAAGTACTAACACTTCCAGTGAACACAGTAAGCTTGTATGCCAGTGCATGGCCAAAGGAGACTTCAGGTAACTATTGCTAAGTCTACTGAACCAATAGGCTGGTAAGCTGATAGAGACAGCAGTCTATAGCTTAATTTTTAAACATTACCATGCAGTCATGTCTTAAATTTCATTATCCTGTTATTCTGATTGTTAGAAAATCCATACTCATACCATTGGCAACAGATCTCAGCCCCCGAAGGTAGTCATGGTTACATGGAGGGGCAGGACTCCAGAAGAGTAATACTCAGTCAGGTATGCACAGTCATGGACATACATTTACACTTCATTCTACTCCTGTCTTGTGTTTATTAGGATTTACATCTAAAAATAGCAAGAATCAAAATGCACTTACACATGGATTAAAAGTTTTGAATGTGAAGAAACATCCTCTGCGAGCATCAAGATCTTCTGAAGAGCCTTCACTCACAATTACAAATTTAAATGGAAATGTAGGCTGTATTATTTTGCTTCACTAAAAGCTTCTTTATGGCTCTAGGACAGCCAGTAATTATTGAAGTTATTTGTGTCAGTCAAAGTTAATCTTGAGCAAAAAAGTAACAATTATTATCTACTGAGGTCCCCAAATTTGGAACTCTCTTCCTGTATCAGTCACTTTTCCATCAAGTCTTCTTAGTTTCAAGACCATAGTACAAGAGTCTCCATTCAAACAATCACTAAATTGGCCAAGCTGCACATTTGCAGCACTTATTTTCAAAATATGTTGTTGTCAGTAAGAAGTCCTCTTCTATAAGCCAGGTGGTTTCTTGCAGTCTTTTTGGGGTCTTTTTGCCTTATACATGAATATAGTATTTGTTAAAAAATGGCTAATAAATGATGATGATGATTATTATTTCTGAAAACAGCTTGATCAATCTGGTGTGTATAAATTCAAAGTGAAAGTCACTGCTGTGGACCAATCTTATGGATATGCATTTATTAATGTCACAGTTTTGCCTGGTGAGTAGGGTCTAAATGTCATTATGCTAATAAATAAAATGCATACATGTATTAATTGTTTAATAAGTTAATTTCTAAGCATAGACAAAAGGGATCATTTTTTTCATGAGTGACCCATGTATGACCCACAACCCTTTCACCCTTGAGTGATCAGAATCTCATTTCTCCTCACAATGTTACCTGAGAATCAAACATTGAGGTCAGAAGAAAAAAATGAAATGATTGCCATTTAAAGAAGCTCTTAACCCTTTAACTCCCAGATCCAATTTTTACTTCTCCTAAATGTCAACCATACAGTTCTTTTAATGTTAGTTCAGAGAAGTTAGTATTGGATCAACTTCTTATCCCAAATTTGATATTTTTCTTTATTCTTGTTACTTATCTGGTTGACATTGTATTGATATTGTAAAGAGAAATTCTGTCTTGGTCACTCATGGGTGTTAAAGGGTTAATTCTTCTTTTTAGTCAAAAGGAATGCATGGAGTGCAGTAGTGAGAATATACATGCTGATGTTAGCATGTAAGGGGTTAAATGGGTGAATGAAATGAGCATACAAAAGTGATATGTGTCTCTTAAATTGCTTTTACTAAGTACTCTATTAAGATATCAATAAGAGCAGTACTCAATTAATCCTTTACACCATAATATTAACATTCATATTCTCCACACTGGTCTCTCTACATTATCCATGGTAATGACATGGAGAATTTGTTTGACAATCAGGAGCTTTTTGATCAATGATTATTTCCTTTATTCTCATTATCACAATGTTTTATTCAGGGGTGATATTGTAAGGAGAAATTAGATGCTGGTCACTCTAAAGGTCAAAAGGTTGAGAATGGAAAGCAATCCAGGATTACAGTGTACTTTGCTTCCTTCTCTGACTAGTTTAGAATCATGCCCTTGTCAACCAATCAGATAGTAATTTAAAACCAATCACAACTTGGTCATGGTCATTTCCCCACACTTCTGCCAATTTGTCCTGTGTTGAAATGTCACTGGATACTCTCCATATTTTTCTCTGCTTTGAATGGTCTTTTTGACACAGGGTTGAAATGTGCTCTGATTCTCTTTCTTGTTCATATTGTACATATGTACTTGTTTAGCTCCTCGAGTGAATAAGCCACCACGTGCTGACATCTCTCCTAAGGAACAAACAATTACCTTGCCAACCAATGAGGTTGTACTTGATGGATCAAGTAAGTTGAGGATAGTTTTCTTCAAAATTATTCAGTAAACAAAATGTAAAGTTAATATATGGCGTTGCACAATAGAAATAATTGATAAAATTGTCCATATAGAATTTGTATACATGATCTCTTGAAACTGTTGCATTGGTCACCTTAGCTTCATTGTGGCTGATGTTATGGTTAGTTCATGTTACAGTTATGACATTTCTTCAATCCCTAAAGTCTCAGAGGTGATTAAAATGTAACTTCTCCCTGTAATTTCCATACTACATTATACAGGAAACAGGTCATGAGAATACTTTAAGTATTCAGGTGGAAGTTGTTATGTTGATGTAACACAATATTCTCTAATTGACCAGGAAATGAGTAGCAGTTAGATGGGAGGATTAACAATTAGATCTATGGAGTTAAAGATTTTTTTTTTTTTGGGTTCATGATTTTGTCTCAGACAGTTTAGGGGTTTAATACCAGGAATGCCATCATGAAGTTGTAAAACATTACAGAAGTGAGTGTTGTGTTCCAACAAGAAATTGTTGCGTGTAGCTGAGTGCTGTGGTTCTTTAACTTCTCTTTTTCAATTTGTGCAGAGAGTTCGGATGACGACAAAATCACTCAATACAAATGGGAAGAAGTGAAAGGTCCTCTAAATGACAAGAACAAAATGATGAGCTCAGGAGTAGACTCTCCTGTACTTCAGCTCAAGTCTCTTGTTCCTGGAATCTACACATTCAAGTAGGTCTTTTGGTGGATCTGTGCAACTGTTTGCTAGTTTTTGTTTGTTTTTTTTTTTCTTTGATTACTGTCTGTTAAGTATGTCACATCCTATATTGTCATCTGTTCATTCATTTGAGATTAGTTCTGCATGCAACATAAGTTGTTGCCTAAGAGAGTGAGTGATGAAATTGGAGATATGGCAACACAGTCAGCTGTTATTCAAACCATTTATCCTAGTAGCCCTATGATACCTAAGAGTGACTAACATATAATTTCTCCCTACAATGTTACCCCTGAACCACTCATTACAGTTATGAGAATAAAGGAAATGATCAGCAACCAAAGAAGCACTTGATTGTCAAACAAATTCTTTCTGGTGAAAGACATTTTTTGTCTTGTCATGGGCATTGGACAAAGAAAAAATTCTAAATCCCCATCTTTTTTTTTTTATTATTATTATTTCTCATCTTTTGTATTCTAAATTTATTTGGTTGGCTCCTTAAGACATGTATCCAAACGAGTGTGGAGAATATGCACACTGATACTGATATTGTTGAGTTAGCTGAATAGTTATGTGCACAAATTACAACCTTAAGAGTATTCTTTTTAGCCATTACCACACTACAATAACTGTACTTTATTTTGATTGCACTGTTGGATGGTCTGTGGAGAGTAATCTGGAGTAAAAGTGTTGTCTGTAGTAGTGACTGACATTTTTACAACCTAAGGGGAACTCATCATTAGAATAATTATAATGGTAACGACTCCCCTTCAGGTTAAGGCCACTGTGTCTCCCTGAACTCTTGTAAATGTTTAATGTTGTTGCAGGTTGACTGTGACTGACTCAGATGGTGAATCAGATTCCACTACAGCCACAGTGACTGTTAATGATGGTAAGTCCCACATTTTCATGCATTCACAACCATGTCACTTCTAAGATCTAATTATCAACTCTCTCTACTGTCTACCTTCTATCTCATCCAATTTTACTGTAGCTCTTAGAATGTTTTGTTAAATTAAGTGATATCCCCATTATATTCTTTCTTGATATCAGCTGTCTGGTTTTTAAAAATTGTATTTGTA